TTTTTTTGAAAACAAATTGTAGACATAAAGTCTAATTTTCCTAAGGATGGGAGCTATGATTTCTGGGACAGCAGTGGTCACTAACAAAGGTTTAACTTCTCATCAACTACCAATCCCCACACTGGGGGCGGGGGTCTTTCAGGGTCGCATCTCGCTGCGTGCATCTGCCAGGTGTAAGAAGCAACCAAGAGTCTGTTGCCCATGTTTCAGGAGGAAGAAAGTTTAATCAATAGCATCAGAAAGGCTTTATCATAAATATTTATAATCAAATCTTTAAAAAGCAGGCAGATTCTGAATGGTCTGAAAGTCTTTGGGTAAGAAAGGATGCTAAGAGTTGTGAAATTCTGTTCTTTTTCCCATTCTTCATTTTGCGTAATTCTCCCTGTAACCTGCTCCACGTGAACTATTTCTCAGATGTATGGAAAGAAGTGGCTAATTGAAAACCACCCTGTTTAAAATCCTTCTTCTAGGTTAGGTGATAGGGTTTTAAGAGAATTCCTAACAGAATGAAAACTGCATCCAAAGTCAACTGTAAAAGAGATATCAAGAAAAAGAACTACTGCTATTAAAGTTGAAAAGATGAGCCACAGTTTTAATCTGCTGTGGATAATTTAAGTCAAGTATCTGGGCAGGGAAGACTCCTATGTGCTCAACAAAACGTGTGTTTTTCCTACAGCGCATACAGTACACCTACTTGCAGCTCAGTCAACCACACGTCTTAGGAAGGCCAGTCAAAGTGGGGTATACACCACTTCCAGGCCTGACAGTATCCTCCAGGCTATCTGCCTCCTCTCGTGTACCACCGGATGCAGATGGGGCAAAGGACTTGGAAGCCTTGGTGCCTGGTGAAGCCACAGATGAAGCCTGGTCCCTAAGTCCGTAAGTCAACTTAGGTAACACTGAACTGCTACAGGAACAAGAAATAAACTCCACATGTATTAAGTCATGAGATTTTTAGGGTTATTAGCCTAACCTTAATAAAGAAACATTTCAAACCACATATAATGGCCCTCATGTAAAATATTCAATATAAAATCCCAGTATGACACATTTACTGTAGGTTAAACTTATCAGAGCAGTCAACCTGAGTAGGGATTGACAGAGCAATGGAGAGTGGTCAGTGAAAATGATGACTAATCCTACTAAAGGCAAGGTTGAAAACTGAGCTATAGAAAAGGTAAGATATATACATGTCACATTTTCTTGTATGGTCCTATTAAAAATCCTCATTATAATGATGGAAGCCAATTTGGGCTCAGAGAAAATATGTTCACCATAGCTAAGCTATACCTGAAAACACTTTCAATATCCTAAAGTAAAATGTTCAGTTGAACTATTTTGACTCCACAAAGGGCTGAACAGAGGGTGCGAAGTGCACAAGGATTTAAAATACATCCATGCAGAACATAGAGCCTAGCACTTTAAATTGACAGCACTCGTTGAGATGGGCTGTGGATATCCTTCCCTAGGGTAACAGAAAACATAAAAAGCTGTTATGTCCTGAAAGAGTCCTGAGTCACAAACAGAAAGGTTTATGGGGGCCACTCAGATAACAGGGTGGGTAGAAAGGGGCAGAGCGGGTGGGGCCTGTAAGGAACCATGTCACAAACACAGTGTTAAGGTCTTCCAACTCAGTATTTTAAGACAGTGTCGGATTTGGGGGCAGACTCTCCATGTTTAGGTAGACTTTATTCACCCATTTACCAAGTACTGACTGTTCACTCACTGGCTATCTGAAATCCAGAATTTGGTCTAAAAGCTGTTGTGAGGTTCTTTTCCATTCTACTGCTCTTAAGAGAATGTTTAATGGTAAAACAGGGTGAATACATGACAACCTATAAAAAAACTGAAGACACAAAAGAGTGAAAATAATTCAGGTAGAAGAGGAAGAAAAACACAAGGAACTGAAAAAGAAAATAATTTTCTTTAAAAATAAAAAGTTTAATTTGCATTAAGTATAACAATATGCACTCTACAAACTCTCAGAAACACAACTAAAAATATCTGTCAGGAGCTATGATAATTTTGAAAATAACAGTCTTTTTATCATACATTTGACCAAGATGCTGTAAGATCTATGAAATGTCAGGTCATGTAGAATTCGTTTACATGCTTTTCATTATACACTGAGGCTTTTCCCTAAAATTGTACAGAAAGAACACTTCATTAAAACTCTTTCAAATTTTACAACTACAAAAAGCAAAGAAAACTGGTAGAGGTGAATGAATCTCTCTTCTCCAGGATAGCAGGACTACTGAATGGTAGACAGTATCTTCCTTACCCCCTTAAGTTTGATGAGGAGGCCAACTGCGAGGAGAGAACCGAAGTGCCAGGTGTATGGGCAGGGTACAAGAGCTACAGCCCTGGCTGCCTTGAAAGGAAACGAGGTGAGTATGACATACACATTACAATTAGAAAATGATAGTAATCAAGACGGTCTTAAATTTCAAACAACTTACTTCAAATATGAAGCATATAGTTCTATATTTTTTTAAGTAAAATTTCATTTATTCAAGTCCAAATAATTGTTTATTATCTCCTGTTTTATTAAATCCTGGCAAAACTAAGAAAGGGTTCCTAATATATATCACCAGTGTAAATAGCACTACAAGAAGCATGTTTAGCCTTAGAAAATTAAGGACTTAGGCATGTTCTTGGTAAATGACTGATTACACTCCATAGGCAGATTCAGAGTAATTTGTGCTTTAAGACAGTCACACTGCCTTTACTGTACAGTATTATGATCTGTGTTTTTGCCAACTTTGGTTGGTCTTCACTCCAGCTACGTCAAATCACTAACACTTCTGTTGACTTTTTTAAAGAGTCATCCTACTGACAGTCTGGAAATAATTGATCTTCCTTCTGGATTAACCCCTTTATTCCTATCAATCCGTTATTTTCTGAATGCTTCACTGTAACTGGAAATTCAAGATAGAGCTAATCATATAGCCACCCTGCCCCATTCAAGTTTTCTGCTCCAAGTGCCAGGAAGGCCTCATTAGGAAACCTTTCACCCACCACCCAGACCTGGAAACAGCAGACAAGGCAGTGCAACCGAGGCTGTGCTTTACTAGTGATTTTACTTAACAAGCTTTGGCCGTGGAGGTGATAGTGGTTGATTTCTAGCAATCATTTTAGATGCTTCTTAACTCTATTTCTTCAAGTGGTGAGAATATAAATTCTCTAACAGAGGAAAATGTTTTCAACAACTGGCTTAAAATGAGTTGACTTTGAAAACTAATTTTTTACATACCTTAGTTTAAAATGGATCCTCTGAAGATCTATCTATCTCAAAGGCAGCATTTTCTTCCTAGGCACGAAAGGGTTTAAGATTACGTAAGATGTTAAATTCTCTTTCTAGTTAATCAGTGTCAACCAAGGATTCTCAACCTTTCTGAAGTGATGAGCCATTAAAAGACCATCCAGTGTGGGCTCACTGTTAACATAAAATTTTCTATTTTTCAAAATAATTGCACAGTTATGGCCTATGCTTAAAATTCTGAGGTACGGAAGAGTATTGGGCACCACAACCTGGAAACTAAAAATACAGTATTTCAGAGACCCCACCCCACCCATGCTGGCCAATCCCTACCCTTACTCAAAGCAAGTCTCCACGCCTCTTTCTTCCCATCTGCCAAATGAGGGTCTAAGTCTGTAAGGGGCAAGTGGGGAAGGGAGGAGACCAGGTACTCGATCCCAAGCATCTGCCAAAGAAACCGGTCCTCTTGGACCTTCCCTCTGACCAGCTTCCCTCCTCATCACATCCTTAAGGGAACGGTATCCTCTAGTTCTCTTTTCAAGATAGTCATGTTGATTTAATCAAGAGTGAGTCAGGAATTCAGGGGTTTTTTAAAAACTCTGGAATACTTCTAAATAGGCTGAGAATTCCTGGTATAACCAAAAATTATGTAGTCTTAAAACCTTTTAAACTTAGTATGTTAGCCAGAAGAATAAAGGATTTCATTCAAAAAATATTTTTAATAGTATTTGTAAGAAAAAAAACCCATGATTACAGACATATTTCACTGCAGCATTATAACATGCAAATGATCTAAAGAGCTCTCAACTTAAGATGAGAATTTTAGCAAATAAATTTCTGAAGTTACTTGGCTAGGCAATTAAAATTATTGACTAGTAGCTCACATATGTAAAATCTAACACATAAACAAGTTTTCCTGTTACTATTGAAAATGTTGTCTCAGTTATGGATGCTTAAATTTCCCGGAATTTGAGACAATCCTTAAACACTCAGCATTGTGAAAGTCGTATCAACGGAGAGCGAGCAATAGCTTCACTTCTAGTCTCTCCTGCAGAGAGGCTGTACTCACAGGCACCATTCTGTATGTCTAACGTGACTGGATCTGGTTTAATATTATGCCACGTGAACTGAACTATGTGTGGCTTCAAGCTAAAATGGCTTACAAAATATGGTAAGACTCTAAAAAAGATGTAGCATTTGAAGGACTATCAAGATTAGAGCACCGATTTTCTATCATTTCCGACTCAGCTTTAAGCAGAGCTTTGCGTATGTGAGAATCAGATCGAGCTATGTATTATAAATAGATATAGATGTACACACACACAGACACATGGATTCAAAGGGATTACGGTGTGACTCAATAATCCATCTGGTTTGTCAATTTCTGTACCAAAATGAAAACGCAAACTTTTCCAGAATGTTCATATAATAATTAAATTGATACCCTCCCAGGATCTGATAAACTACTTGCAGCTTCAGAAATGCACAGTGCAGAGCTGTACAGTTGGGCACTAATGCTTCACTGAAGCACCATTTGGGCACAGGGACCACCCAAGAGCCAAGCTCCCTCAAAGAGACCCAGGGGGCAGCTCAGAAACTGTAGCCAGCTGCCATGACTGCTGCATGAACCTGAACATCTGTAACAAACATTACGGCAAAATGAACACACAAATTACTTGTTTATTTTTAATCAAAATATGAATCACCATCACTATAGTGAATAAAAATTCATGAGTCAGAATACCATGCAAATTTTTTATTGTTTCTAAATCTATTTGTACACTTAATACTCTAGTATTAACTCCACAAACAATGAAGAATCTAGTACAATATTAGGCTTCATCTACTCACCTGAAAAGGAACAAACTATTACCTCTGGTATAACCGCTAATGATACAAAACTGCACACTAATAAACACTATAAATACTAAAATATTAACATTTCAATATATAATGTCAATAGCATATTGCCTTCTTTTAATTGGTTAAAATAGTTGTTAAGGTTATGCAAAACAAACACATTATGAAAATGTTAGATTATACCCAAACATTAAGGCAATGAAACCCAAAAGAACAACTATTTAGTGCAGACTGGTCAAGTAAAGAATTTATTCAGCATATTAATAAAACTCCATTAAGTGCAAAACATCACAAATGTAACACTAAATTTAGGTAACTGCACATCTACTATCTAACCATCTACAATCTTATCTGTGACTGAGGATATACTGCCAAACTTAATTTTACACACTAAACAATGTAAAACGACAAAAAAATTTCAATGCACAATGACAGGGTACATTTCTAGTCTACACAATTCTTAAACATTATCATTCTCTTAACTCTGCTAACAATAAATGAGAAGTCACACAAGCTTTATCTTCTTTTTACCCTTGCTTTGTTACATGTTTTTAAACCTTTTTTTAAAAGTATCTCCTTATGATCTTCCCCCAGAATTAACATGCTGATTTAAGAATAGCTGGAGTAGCTATACTCTGACCTGGGATAGAAGGCAATGATTTAGTTTTACCTAATTAAATATTTCCTTATCATTAGTCAATTGTCACAGACATTTTTTATGTTACTTCCTCATTCTCTCATTCCATAAATATTTATTAGTGCCTATTATTACCCAGGTCTTTCTGATTCTCCAGAGAATTTATGGGTTCTTCTTCTCTCATTGCTGGGCTAAGAAAAGTCATGCACACAATTTAAAAGAATTACAGAGTAGGCGAAGGTAGATTCTCAGGCAAGTGGATGGTGCTGGAAGCCAGGTCTGAGATTTGGAGAGAAGTGTGTCCAGGACACAGACAGGCTACTGGCCCTTCCCCACAGGCCACTCTCTTAGCAGCTCATAATGGCCCCACTCCTGGGATTCTGTATCAGGTACTGCTGACTCAATTTCTTATCAATTTTTAAAGCTTTTTATCATGCATTTTCTACTTAAGATTTAAAAACCTGTTGATAAGCAATGTCTCCATTATATAGAACACTGGCTTTCAATATACAGAACATTTGCCTTCAATCTCTGGGCTACTCCACAGCCTGTAAATTCTTATCTTTTATCCCTTATGAGCAAAATTTGCTTCTGGTTCATCTAAGACCATGTCTTCCCTCCAATATTTGATGAGTGAATGTTCTACAAAAGGGATCTCTAGCTTTTATTTTCTTTGGCAAATTAAACCCTTTATTTTTAATAAAATATGCCTGGCCTAACTCTACACTTAGATCTTATCTCAAAAAATTTCACAGGGTCATATAACAATAGGGAGTTTTTAAGCTTCTAATTACAAAGACAATGGAGACTAATTGATGAACCCCCCTTTCTTACACTTCCCTCGGCTGTAGGGTATATGTAAGTCTTCTTTACCAAAGGCCTTCCCATCCATTAACTATTCGTGAATGAAATGTACAAAGATGATGGGCACGGATGAAGTCACTATAAAACTCAGGTCAATTCTGTCATAGGGGTATATTAATACTATTCCATTTTTGCTTGATTTTCTTAAAGAATGCTTTCCCTTTCTTCCCCAAAGCCTGTACTATCAGAAGAGGCTACTGCGAGGAGCTCTGAAGCATCCTTTGGGAGCCTTGTGTAACTTGAACGTTGGCTTCGCTTGTGTGTGAGGCTTTTTAGATTTTCATTCTGGATAGCAGCTGGACTGGAACTGGAACTGGGCCTCAAAATGACTTGGGAAGTCTCCCTGATTCCCTCCATTTCATCAAAATTCTGATTGGCTCTATTAGCTGGAGCACTGTTGTTGTTCAGAGTCACAGTACTGGGTGTTCGATTCAGGTTGTAGGCTTTTTGGCACGCTGGCCAGTTTTCTTCAGGGCTGCTGGCTATCAAGCTACATTCAGAAGGGCTTTTCTTGTCTTCTGAACAAATAGACATCCGAGCTGTAACCGGATCTTGCAGGCCGCTCAGGCTATGAGGTATTCCTCGCTTCCCAGTGTGGCTGTCATCCTCAAGCTCTATGAGGTTTGCCTTTTCAAGCTGGGAATCGTCGGCTGCCTCGTTGTGCAGAGAGTGATTGGGGGAACTTTCGCTGGATCTCACTCCCGAGTCAGATGAGTCCTTTTTGTCGAGGAGGGCATCAGATAAATATTCTTTTGCTTTAATGAAGGTTCTTATTGGCTCAGCACTGTGTTCTGGAGACTTTGACACTCTCTCTACTCTCCCTTCAACTTTTTTATCTTTATCGTCCTTGAGCAGTGGAGTATTATCAGATTCTTCTGTTCCAGATTCGTCCTCATCGCTTGGAAGTTTCTGATAGCGCATTCCACCTCCCTTAAGCTTCAGATCCGTCTGGAAGAGACTTGACCTTTCGGAGGATTTCTTACCTGGGAGAAGTTTACTGCCTGACTGATCAGATTTTTCATCTTCCTCAGTGATAGGATCCAGAGGGGAGGCATCATTCGTGGAGACTCCTGATGATGAATGATCCATAACATCTCCCCTCTTCATTAAAAATGACTTCCTCCCATCATCCTGCTTTGGTTCGCTATCCTTCCCTTTTTCTGGCTCTAAACTAGAATGAATGGAGCCCCCCGAAGAACTCTGACCCATATAGTATGTGCTATGTGGAGAAGATCTGCCACTAATTGTTGTAGAACCTGTACCCCCTTCTAACTGAGACATCTGAGCAATATATTCTCTATAAGCATCTCTATACTCAGCCTGCACCTTATCAGTAAGCTTTGAAATTTCAATACTGGAATCCTGGGAATTGAGACTTGAAAGACTCGGGGTTCTGCGAGTTTGTGACTGTGAAGACAGAAAAAAAATAATTTAGGAATTCAAATAAGAAAAAAAAAAAGCATAATAAACATCAGCTTAGGAAAAAAAATATATATATATACACTACGAATTTTTGAAGTCCTCAAAGTGCCAAATTCTTTTTTAAAAATTCTGAATAACAGTTTAGTAACAGCTGTGAACTTATGGATAATTTTACTGTCAGTACAAAGCTTCATACAAATTTTTTAAATTAATTATTAATATTTAAAAGTATAATTCAAGGTTGTAGTAACAATCTTAGCACTTGTTTTTATAACTTCAAACTTTTATTTAAGGCAAGTGACTTTTATTGATAAAATACCAAAATTCCTCTTAGAAAAGAGAAAGATTAAAGATATGTCTCAAAAACAAAACACTCAAGTCCTCAATGTATGTTAAAATGAAACTTGTACAACATGAAGTTTCTACCAAATTCCAATTCAGATTAAGAAAATATACTCAAAATGCAAAAAAAAAAAAAAATTTACAGGAATAGGATAGAGTGGAATAGAGCAGATAAATTTGTGATTCAAATGAACAGAAATGGGAATCCATGAGGCCAATAGTCAGTGCTAATAAACAAAGAAATGAAGTATTTTTAGAAGTTTGATTTCCAATGTGAGGTTTTAGGGTTAGAATTACTTTAAGATCCCAGAAAAGCTAATATATGAGTAAAAAGTATAGATTAGGAAAAGAGAGAGAAATGTAAGAAAAAGAATCAGTGAACTGTAAGAAGAGACCAGAGCAAACAAAGACTGAGCAAAGAAGCAGAAATAGGGGAAAGAGTTTTCCTTCCAGGGAGAAAATGGCCCATCGTGAGAAGGTGCCCGTCACCAGGTCCAGACCGTAAGAAGAGGGCCGTCCTCCGCTCTCCAATGCAATGCATGCACCCCTTTCGGGTTCTACGAGGGTAAACTGTTCTGGGAACAGATGGCGCCGTTTGCCTTTCACGCTCATCCCTACAACACTGTCCAGTGGGGCTCCCAGAGGCTCCAGGACATGTGGTATCATGAGATCGGACACAGAAGCAGATGGGGGGGTGGGGGAGTCTTCTATTAAGCCAGGTATTAAAGAGATTTGCAAAACAATACTGTTTTCACTAAATTTCATTTTGTTTTGAAAAATATGGTCATTTTCATAAAAAATGCTCTTTATGTTAACAATGTAATTGGTTTATCTTAAATAAATTGATAATTATTTCTGAAGTTTCTCAGTTTTTATTTCTAATACAGTAAATATTGCCAGATTTAAAGTTATACAGACAAAAGCTCCTCAGGGTGTTCAATAATTTTTAAGAGTGTAAAGGGATTCTGAGATTTAAAAGTTTGAGAAGTGTTGCATTAATGGGAAGGCTGTGAGCTTCCAGGTGACAGTAAGAAATACTAAGTGTGGAAAAGCAGAGGATGGAGATTTCTTAAGAAACAGTAAAAGAGATCCCAGGGAAAAAAAGAACTACTGTTATGGAAACACAGAGACCAAAGGATCTAGTGGACTTATTAAAATTTAGGGAAGTTTTATCTTGGTCAATACCAATAATAAAATGGCTTCTCAACTTAAAGAAGTAAGGTAGATACTAAGTAAAAGACAAAACAACAACCAAAATGTTTTTACTACCAAACCAAAGCCCCTTACAGACGGCAGACCTGCAGGTACTGCTTTCTCTCAGCATCACCCTTGCCCAGTACAGACTGTCTGCAATGCTACTATCTTCCCTCCCCACTTGTCTTCCTCTCTGCTGTGCCCTGCTTCTCACTCTCCCCTTATTCCTCGTGTGTCTCTCGCTTTTGTTTTTATGGCTGATCCTTACCTATCCTCCCTCTTCTAAAAACATCCACAGAAAGAACTCACCTGTACCTAACATCAGGTAATAAAAAGAAAACAAATATCCATAAACAGTATATGTATGTACTAAAAAACCAACAGTGCTCAAAGGGATAGTATATGGCAAGTTTTCCAATAAGAAGTGTTTCAGCCAATGATCAATGACTTCAACAAAAAATTGCAAGTGGGTGACTGAACCTTGCTGACTACCTAAGGGTGGCCCAGTTCCTGTTTAATCTCTGTGCCATTAGCCGATTTTGTTTTGATAGTTCTTACCAATTTCTGAAGTATCTTTTTTTAATTTTACCAACTGTCCTTTCCAGAGGAATACAACTCCTTGAGAATAAGGAGTCCCCAATCTTGCTCACTTAGGTACTCCTTAAGTATTTTCTCAATGACATCATAAATGTACCGACACAATCTCAGTGAATTAGATACTGTCCCAAATCCTCATTAAAATGGAAAATGATATTTAATAAATACCTGCCAACTTAGATTACTGTGACGTGGGGCACCTTCATCTAGGCCGAGTGTATTCAGTTCTTCAAAGCTGAAGTTGAGCGTGTAGGGAGTTTGGTTGGAAAGCTCTGTATGAGGCAATTCGCTGTGTGAAGAGCGACGGGCAGGTTCACCATGCGGAACTGGGCCGCTGCTGTTCTCACTAAGTAGACGTGGGTCTTCAGGGACCCCTTGGTTTTCTGCACTTCTCATTTCCAGTACCTTAAGAGAGGAAAAAATGTCATTCACATCCACATTGACAAATCACATTTTAGAAGCTTCCCAAGTTATTTAAAAAGTAAACATTATAAAGTTATTATAATGGAAATGAGAAGGTATGCTTCCTATAAGTGAATTTCTAATGAATTTGTACTGTATCTGCTTCTCTTTCATTTCAATTAATACTAAAACAAGTAATGGCAATAATCATATATATTACACTCTAATTTGACAATTACATATAACTTTAGTTTAAAATTTAACTTGAGAACAAAACAAAATGCAATTGTGGTGTGTCAAAGAGAATCAGTGCTCAAGTGGTAAAGCAGGCTTTCCTCAGAAACCATGGCAACAGGGGAAAAAACGACCTCAGGACAGACCTGGGCTCAGTCTGACGCAGCATGGGCAGGCAGGCATTTACGACAGAGTGGGGTGCGGTCAGTGGATGAAAATTTTCTAAGAGGAAGCAACAAGGGTCACGGGGTGGGCAGGGTTCTGGATGAACCTACTAGATGGGATTCTTGCTGGAGGCAGGCCAAGGTGATCAGACACCGCCTGGGGGACAGTGGGGGTGAGGAACATGATCAGGCATCAAGCCTGATCAGACATCGAGGGTGGGGTTCTTTCTCAATCGACTTAGCAGGATTCTTGTGAAGGCAATGCAGCAGGCCTGATGAGGACAGACACCAAGGCTGAGGCCTAGAAGCCTGGAGGGGCCAGACTAGAGGCAGGTCAAGGAGAGTCTTTGTCAGTGAAAGCACAGAGAATTGGTGAGTTGCCTCTTTCCTAAATTTCCAAGTGAAATGCCCAAGAGGCAAAGGTTGCCACGCGCTGCTGTGTATATTCTGCACAACAGAACATATAAAGGTTTACACAAGTATCCAGTGCAATTTTCACATGTTTTTTTAAAATACAGAAAAATCAGTTTAGACTGTACTTATTGGGCACTTGTTTTATACAATGTTATAAGTAGTTCTATAAATATAAAATATCTTACTGTGCTTTTAAAAAGGTGCCAATCTCCAAAATTCATATTCATCTCTTTCTTCAGTTCATCAACATTACACTGAGCTAACACACGGCCATTTATGTTTGCCTGAATAAAAATAAATACAAGTATATTATGTACAATAACCAAGATATGGAAGCAACCTAAATGTCCATCAACAGATGAACGGATAAAGAAGATGTGGTACATATACACAATGGAATATTGTGGGTGGACATTCTTTGTCTGAAGTTACTAACGTAACTGGTCATTAGAAATAAAAGAAATCCTTCCATTTGCAAGAACATGGATAGATCTAGAGGGTATTATGCTCAGTGAAAAAATCCAGGCAGAGAAAGACAAAAATCAAATGATTTCACTTATTTGTGGAGTATAAAAACAAAGCAAAACAGAAGCAGTAGACTCATAGACACCGACAAGGGAATAGTGATTACCAAAGGGGAGGGGCTGGGGAGGATGAAGGGGAGGGGGAAGGGGATTAAGGGGAAAATAATTTGCGATCACAACATAGGTTGAGCACAGGGATGGCAGTACATCACAAAGAATACAGTTAATGACTCTGCAACATCTTACTATGTTGATAGACAGTGTCCCCACTTGAGTGGGTGAGAATTTGACAATATGGGTGAATGCTGAACCATTGTGTTGTATACTTGAAACCATCATAAGATTGTATATCAATGATACTTTAATAAAAAAAGACTTGGTATATAAAAATAAAGCAAAATTTGGGATTAAAATAAATAAGAGGTATAAACACAGACGAAATGTGAGATATTCTGAATTATTAGTGATTAAAAAGTGCATTTATATTTAATACTAAGGAAATCATTAGAGACTAGAAAATATCTTCCTAAAAAGGTTATCACCACATGTAATAACATCACAATCAAGCTGAATTTGAACAACAGAAGCCACACCATATTTGCCAAGCATCTTGAGCACTAAAGTAAAATAAACCACTGTTCAAGAATCAACCCAAAAGCTAACCCTCCCAACTATTTCCAAAAATACCTACCCTGTTATGAGCAATAACAAAACTGTTCGTTTTTCTCCTCTGATCTTGTAAAATACGAACATGAATACAAGCTCCCAGGAGGGGACAAAGGCATCTGTCCTCGGAAGTGTGTGGTTCACTGATTAAGTTCTAAGTGAAGTCAGCATTGACAAACTTGCTTACTGGTTTCATTAGTAACTTCAGATAAAGAATGTCCACCCACTAATGTCCCCATCTTTACACTCACAAAAAATGACCATGTCATATTGGGTCTCTGTAATTCTAGTCTCCCCCAAATAAGAAGTGATGGAATTTTCTTGATTAATAATAGGTAGCCTAGGGATTTACAAAATACAAAAACTTGACTATTAACTGTGGTAAAATATGGAGTACCTGTTTCACCAATTGGCACAATGTTCAGTTCCCAAGTTAATGCTGGCAAAATGCATGTACAGAGCAGGCTAGGACAGAAGACCTGCTGTAGGGAACACAGGGAACCTCGCAGCACTTAAAAGCCAGGCCTGGGAGCAAGGTGCTGAGTGGGAAGAAAACCACTGTCCTGATGGAAACAAAACTGTCACAAGGATTCACTCTTTCCTGACACTACCTGAGCTGTGGAGACGACAGCGTCAATGTACCTCCGAAAGACAGTACTCGACCCTACTGCAAACAGGGATTCGTGCTAACCAGATCCGTAAGGAAACTGACATTATCTGAAATCTTTCTGACTAAAATGTATGTTAAAATTAGTAAAATGTTATCTATATATGCTCATAATTTATATAAAAACCTTTGTAGATGCCATTCTTTATAAAGTATGCAAACATAGAGGCTTGTTACTGATGTTCTGCTTTGCTATAATTCTCTGATAGAAAAAGCGTAACAATGGAAATATGTACTATAACTAGGACTCAGCCTTGGATAGTATAGTACAGGAAAATTTCCTCAAAATCCCATCCAACTTTATCTGCTAGAATTGCAAGAACAGGAGTTAGGAGTAAATGAACTTCCTCGTATGTGTTAGCCTTGACAACTAAAACCTATGAGGTTTCATCAGAGGGGACATAGGAAGTCCTATAAAACACAAAGGTGAGAAACTGGGGAAAAGGAAGTCAGTATGGTTTACTTTGAAACTATTAAGTCACAAATAAATGTTACAATTAAAGAAAATGTAACATAAAAGAAAAGGCCTTTGAATGTCCTATGGGGCAGACTGGAGTTAAGTTTATCTAAATGTGAAATCCCCTGGAGCTTTGTATTTCTCACCAAAGCATTTTTTTTACTATATTAAGTCATTTTAAATATTGTAATACTTCATTTTCTTCTATTCATTTATAAATTAAGGGATAATAGGGCAATTTTAGGATACAAAAAAGAACCATGTTTCCATTTAGAGCTTTCCCATTCACCAGAGACCCCATGTTGGATAAGCTCCTCTGAAGTGCCCCCGCCATCCACCCACCCCCTAGCCCTGTCCCAGCAACAGGGACACACTCGTCACCTTTCTGATGGTCGCACAATACTGAGGCAGCATACTCTGGTCCAGCCCTTCTACTTGTTTCAGCTTCTCACATATTGCATCCACATTCATTGAATTCAGTGATACTGTTCCTGAGGCTGGGCCTGATCCCTAGGCAAGTCGTGGAAAAACACATTATGAATAGCATTTAATGCCAGACACATGCAGTCACATGACAGAGAAACATTCGTGATATAACACTATGAAATGTCCTAACAAACTTCCAAACTTAAGGAAAAACAATGGATGTGTGCATATATGGGGGAAATGAATAGATTTAGCTCTGTTAAACCTTCACAAGCAGCTTTCATTATAGCAGATACAGCCTGACCCAAACCACTTTTCTAAGATACCAAGCCTACTTCCCCAATGTTTACAGCATAACCTCAAGACGAGGGGGTACAGCCTCTAATAACAGGAAGGACAGGGTTTTTTTTAAAAGGCAAAGGAACAAAGAGGGAAAGTTAATGACACCTTTATTATAAAGATACAAAAGAGAAGTCTATGAAATAAAGTACCTATACCAAATAGCTTTAAGTGTTTCTATAGACTTGCTTAATGGTCCACAACAGCTGAAGTTCTCAGATCTTGATTATATTTTATGCCTAAGGGATCTAAATCGTCTCCTTAAGAATCTCTACAATAATCATGTAAATATTAAACCACACTATTATTTAAAGTATATACAACCCATTAAAATTTGGTCTCATTGAAAAGTCAAAATAAACAATTCTAATTTACCTAGAAGAGAAACATTTCTGAGTGTGTTGACATACTACAGAGGCATTTGTCTGTAGTCAGTTATATATGAGTCTCCCCAATTACACATGTGGACAGAGTGATCTAGAGAGGCTAAGTTCTGACTTCAAAATCACAGAATTAATAGCTAGTTAGTGGTAGATTTGGACCAGAACCCTATCTTACAGGAATTACAACTTCATATTTTTCTTGCTCCAACTGTCTATTTTTGAAGAGTTTGTAGAAACTATAACCATAATAAAGAAGACAATACTCCAAATGATCTGTCCTGTTTTACTGTTCAACCTAATCTTAAAATGATCAATAAAATATATCCTATCCTCAAGGATGTATAAATTTATATTTCTACTGCCTCTTTTAGCATTTCAGGACCAAAGTAGACTATCACACAGCCAAAACTGCTGGTTAGTCAGTTGTTAAACATTATTTGTAACATGAATGCATAATACTCTATTACAATAGAGTTTGTAAATAACTATATACACACAGAGTATATACTCAGCATATATATATTATATATAAATATAGTTAAGGAATAAGAGAATATTGAACAGACAGTTGGGGAAGGAGCAAGTTTACAAATATAAGACATACCTGTAAAAGTTAGGAAATTAATGACTTGAAATATACTGCATCAGAGACATGTATTCATAGTTTGTTTTTAATTAAAGATATATTTGAAACATGACAGGGACACACACATCACCTTTCTGATGGTAGCACAATACTGAGGCAGCATACTCTGGTCCAGCCCTTCTATCTGTTTCAGCTTCTCACATATTGCATCTACATTCATTGAATTCAGTGAAAATTATCTGGACCAAAAATCATATGGTCCAAAGTTCAACTGCTTCAAAAATACTAAGAGCAAAACACCAGTGTTTCCACTGTTTAGTTTCGTGAATCTATACATCTATTTTCTGCCTGGATCATTATCATCAATCCTCAAAGTATTAATTACCCATTATCTACTACAGAAATTCCAAATGCTTTCTATGAGTTTTAATAACTATTATTTGTTTTTTATTTCTCTTTAAATAGTTTGAGATATAATTCACATACTATACAATTCTTCCATTTAAAGTGTACAAATCAATGATGTTTTAGTGTATTTACATAGTTGTGAAACCATCACCATCAAGTTTAGGATATTTTCCTATCCCTACAAATTAATCCCTGTACCCATTAACAGTCATTATCTATCCCCTTGTAACACCCACTCCCAGGCGCTGGCAACCACTCATCTACCTACTGTCTCTATAGAGTTGCCTGTTCTGATATTTCACATATATGAAACCACACAGTATGTGACCGACCTCTTGTGACTAGCTTCTTTTACTTAGTATGTTTCCAAGGCGCATCCATGTTATAGCTGATATCAGTACTTCATTCTTTTTTTGTTGCTGAATAATATTTATCTCTTAAATGATCTTTAATACTCTTAAACGTTTTTATGCCTCAACCCATCTCTTCTCTCTAAATACATTTACTCCAGTTCACATTTTCTTGGTTCAACAATCACAAATGAAGAGTTTGAACACCAAAATATTGATCATACTGATTTAACTCACTGGAGAAAATAAATATTCATAAGTCCATACTGATATAATAAATAACTGAGTAAGTAAATGAATGAGGAAGGAACAGCTTTTCCTTCTAGAATTCCAATCAATAAATGTACAAGAGGGAAATAGAAAATTTCCATCAGGAAAACACCACCATAACAGTGGTTGTATACACAGGATGCATCAATGGACACTGAGGTTAATAGGCAAAGTAAAAGCAGAAAATAGGATATTTTCAGAGTTTCAAAATATCTCCCCCCAAATACTTATTCATTACAAAGGGAAAATAAAACTTCACAGTGTTGAAACCTGCCAGATGCCACAATCACTAAGTGATAGGTTAGAAATGCCAGTGCTGAGTGAGACTGGACCATCCGGGCGCTCGCACATGACGCGCGGCGAAAGCACAGCATCAAGTCTGCGACTGCCACCCTGCTCATCACAAGGAAGCGGCAGACACACCCAGACGGAGGGTTTACAGTCCACAAAATACATGACCGGTGTTCAGTTAGAAAAACACAAAGACCGAGGAACTGTGACGGATCAAAGAACTCTGAAGAGAAATAACAAAACACGAGTGGGCCAGAAAAATGACATTAGTGGAAAAACTGGTGAAATTCAAATCAAGTCTGTAGTTTAGTTAATAGTATTATACCAATTTCAGTTTCTGCTCTTGAAAAATATACTTATAAAAGATATTAACATTAATTGAATACTATTTTTGTACCTTTTAAGTCTAAAATTAATTTAAAGTAAAAAGGTTTTTTTTTAAATGACAAAAGAACTCTATTTCTGGTTGTTCTAAAAAGGGTAAGTACACTTAATCATAATATAAGTCGGTCATGGGGATAGCAGTACAGCATGGAGAATATAGTCAATGATTCTGTAACATCCTTCTATGCTGACAGATAGTAACTGTACTAGAGGGGGTGGGGATTTAATGACATGGGTAACTGTTGAACCACTGTGTTGTATATCTGAAACCAATGTAAGATCATATATCAATGATACTTCAATAAAAAAAGAAAAGAGAAAAAATTAAAAGGGCAAATATAGTAGACAAGGAACAGATTAACTCTGACGGCCTAGTTGAGATAAGTAAAATGTTAGAGTATCTTTTTTTCAGAGAGAATGTGAGAAATCTGCAATAGAGATATGTTAATAAAGATACTCACCTTTACTGTGAAATAGAAAACTCCACATAATTTTACTTTCATGACCCTTTAAAATTTACTTTTTATCAATTATTTTAAAACATGGTTTCTCCCTCACTGGGAATTATGTAGAAAATATACATTATATCTGAACAACCCTTAGAAGCTTTATAAGAAAAAAAAGACATACACATAGACATGAGATCCCTAGAAGTACATCAAAGCTATAGTCCAACTCTTTAATATTTGTAAATTGGGCTTTATCAAGATAAGGGACAAATATTCAATAAATTAAAATATGTTACAATGTGCTCCTTGACTAAATGAGTGTAATTACCTTCTAGGTCCTTTCTAAAATAATCACATATAATAAAATTATTTTGAAACCAAATGAATCTTGGTAACCAAAATAATGATTTTTGGCTGAAAATCTCATAAGTGTAATGAGAAAGAATACAAAAGTGATAAGGAAAAAGCACATTCAATAATTCAACAGGGAAATTACCAATAGAAAACTAATTGCATTACTTTGACAATACACAGAATGGTAATAAAGTTCATCACATGTTCTTACTTAAAATTTACCTGTTTGTAAATCAAGAACAGATAATCTCAGCATATATCACAATTTATTTAAAAATTTTTCTAATATGGAAAACTGAATGCAGATGTTAGTTTGTTTAAACTGTTAAATATAAACTTCAGAAAACGCAAAAAAAATATAATTTATCTAGGTAAAAGTAAAACTAACAGTGAAATTACCTTGATATAACTATATCATTTTATGCTGTAAGTAGATTAAAACTACACTCTGAAACATTAACACGTTTCGTAAATTTATTAAATAAGCTTAGAATTGATGAGCCAGAAATGAGTGCCATGCAAAGGCTTGAAAGCAGCTGTTAAAATAAACACAACGCACTGAAATGAGCACAGTTTTATCAACAGCCCAGCATGAAGTTGCCAATAATTGCTTCTAACAGTCTAGTAAGATTTCACTGGAAGTTTCTGTACCTGTCTCTGTTTGTTAAAGCCAGAGTCACACGGCTTTAAGGAAGGAACAAAAAAAGAGTGAAGGACAGAAGCTTAAAGTACAACATGAAACACACACGCGGAACTGACACAACAGCACTGTTCTCATTCCTCCTTCTTCCCCATGACTCTGAACAGACCAACACAATACAAGGAATGCACACACTTACGAGTTTAATTTCATTAACATGTCTTTGGTGATTCAAAATTTTACTCTCAAAATTTATGTTCTTTCTATTAAAGAAAATAAATCATGGATCATACATTTAACAAAGTAAACCAGGTAAATAAAATTTGCTATGAGAACTTGGTGTTACTACTACAAACAAGCTTAAATTAATTTTTAAATATTTTGACTAAAAAATAACCAAAGTTAACCAGTTTCATAATAAGGTCTAAATACTTGGGAATTCACATGATCACTCCATAAAATTAAGTATTACCTCCCCATACTATAGTTAATGTTTAGAAATATACTTTTCAAAATTAGGTGTTTCATTCAGCATTGGGCACATAACAGATGCACTAAAATACCATTTGAGAAGAAAGGCTGTACATGCTTTACAGTTCAAGAAATTATAATGTAATGGCAAAAAATATCTGCACATTATGATTAATGTAACTATTTTAGTGATACTGGTTTTTAAAAACTGATCATTGCTATTAGTTACTTTCCTGTATCTGTTAGGCTGGAGGTAAATATTCTTAAAATAGTTACGATAATCTGGAGATGACCAACAAAAGTGGTTCAAAGTTCATTTACAATGTTGCCAGTATAATGAAGGGTAGAGCTTTGCTACCCTAAAGTTAAATATTTTTCTTTTAAAATATTTAATGTCTATGGTACTTCATGGGAACCTGTTTTCTAAGTTTACACATCAACCTTATTATAAGTAGATTTTTTAGAAAGTTACTATTATATCTATGGAGACTTGAAAAATTATCAAAAAGAGTGCTAATGAAATTACAATTTACTACAAGATACCCAAAACACAAAAGAAATTTTAGTTGGAAAATGTAACTTATTCTTCAAAATATATGAGAAACTAATCACTAGGCCAAAGCTGAAAGACGAGGCTTAACTCTACATTTGAGGGCATCTTTCAAAGAACACACAAGACTAAGCAACTGCAATGAGTATGATTTTGTCCTTCTTTAACTCTGAATTGTACTCTAGGATTTTGATGCCACTACTGCAGTATTTTTCTGTGACAATATCTCAACTTCATGGTGGTTTATTCATTGTTTAGGGAAAAAAGTTTTCTTGAGTTGAAGTCTGGCACAAAGACTTTCAGGCTGGAAGTGAATACACTTCTTCACTGTATTATTAAAAGAAAAACAAGCCACCTCTTTTCTAAATTGAAACAGAATAATAAAAAAGCACTTCCAAAATTCTTTAGAAAGTGTGAATGAACCTGAGAGAACTCACTGAGAGATGACAGTGAGTACCTGCAATCTAAACAGAACCTAAAACATGCCCTCTCCTGACCCACAGCACCTTTAACTTTCTCGTCCAAGTCTGCTCCTGAACAGTGAGAGAGAGATTGATTTGGATATATATTTGTTTGCACACTGGTTCTAAGTTCTAAATCAGTGGTGGAAATAAAATATCTGCAGTTGAACCCCCATCTTTTTTTTACATCTTACTTAGTCACTCTACCAATTGGACCCAGTTCAATGAAAACCAAGACCTTCATTTTTAACACCTTTATTAATTCAGTCGTTTTCATCAATCTCTAAAAGTAAAGGTAACAGCACACTGGAAATCAGGATACCATCATTAACACTACTTTTACAATTCTGAAGTCCTTTATAATTAAAGCTTGTGTTAATTATTTTCAATGAGGTATAAAGGTGAGCTAAATAAAGGTGTCTACAGGTTATCAAGTAAAGGCTGTGGCCAAGACAGACAAGAAAGAATGACTTAGTGGTACTGATAATTCCCTAGGCAGCCTTCAAATCCATAAGCTCTATGAGAGCAGGGTTTTCGTCAGTTTTGTTCCCGGCTGTATCCCAGTCGAAGAGTGCCAGGTAGATAATCAATGTGTCGAACCAAATTGATTGAACAGGCTCCTATAGACTTGATGATAAACAGTGGACGATCACACAGGCACGTGTAGTACTGGACGATAAATAATTCAAGGATAAGAGGGGGAAGAAATGCGACACCTGTCCTTCCTTTTCAGTGAAACACAGTTAGCTCCATGAGCAGAACGCTTTAAATAAAAAGAGACTATAATACTCAGAAAAGCAACTCTTTGAAATATCCTAACAAAACGCCTCTGTGGAGCCCTGGCTGGGGACAGTCCCCCCGGGATGGGTCCTTCCCTCCCTGGTCATGGAGCACCCAGAACACCACTACTTCCCAGTGGGGATGGACTGAATGAAGGCAAAGGCACCAAGTAAACCTTCTCTGGAAAACTTCAAAATTTTAAAGTGTTTGGAGCAAGTAACCAGGAAATTCTTCTAAATTCTACGAATACAGACTAATACCCTTTGGGCCACAGAAGCATCAACAGATGAAAGGCTGAGTTAATCTAAGTCCACGGTGGTGTATCCGTATACTACTCCCACTGCTGAGACAAAGCTGTTTAATGCGAAGGAGTTCTAGGGTCTGAGTCCTTAAAACTCCATGGAATTTGGCCTTTGGAGTAGTAAAAGTAGTCATTATTAATTAAGTACTTAAACTATGCCAAGGGGAGCAATCCTTCATCAAACTATGAGGTAGGTCTGCTTTTTCCAGATGAGGAAGTTGAGTGTCTGCCAAGTTGAGTAATTGTCCAAGGCAAAAAGCTCACCACCAGGGTCTATTTAACCTGAAAGACCAAATACCTAATCATGCTTAGTATTGACGGGAACAAAGGCAGCAGCGTGGGACTGGGGACAGGCTGTGGCACAGGCCACGCAGATCTCGGTCCACACCCAGCACTCCCCCCCCCTGTGAGCCTCAGGGACAGCTCCCAGACCGGCTGTACGGTGGAGCTGAGCTAGACCACCGGCATTAGCACCCCCTTAGAAGCCTGAAGGGGGAAAGCGAGTCCAAGGTGGGGCCAGAGTTATACTTTTACCAGTTTTAGGAACTGGAATTCTGATTCTGATTTCATTTCTAAAGAGGGCCCTCTGCTTAGAGGTTTGAAAAACACCAGTCCTTTCTAACTCTAGTATTCTGGGGAGCCTATTTTGAGTGTAACATTACTTTTTTTTTTCAGTTTTACAAGATTTGGCATATATTTCTCTATTATAAAATTATGGGGGAACATTAGCATATAGCCCTATGTTATACATTTTCACCTTTGGAAACACTTGGACATTTCTAAATGTATCTGGTAAGTCCCTGGTTGGCCCTCACAAACTACAATCATTATAGTGTTCCTTAATGTGAGAAAACCCAATTATTTTCTTAAGGATCTACTTTATAAAGGTTTGTCAGAAATTTCTTGTAGTAGAAAAAGATGGGACCACCGCTACACTGAAACCAGTAGAGTTGGTTAACTCTTTATGGACTGATTTTTTTGGTGTGTGTGTGTGTGTTTTTTTTTAACTAATTATTTTATGTCTGAATGGCAAGATGAAAATTTGTCCAAAAAGGTTTGTGTAGTTCCTGACTTATCTTATAAGCAACTTTGTCATCAAGTGTTGCATATAGGGTGGAACTGAATGAGCAGAGATGGGACTCAATCTGCAGTTCTGTTATCCCAGAAATATAGGGTTTCCTACTATAGGACTGGAAAGCCACATAAGCCATGAACAGCTAAATAATTTTTATATTAACTACTCCTATGCTGGTTCAGCTATAAAGATCCCAAATAATGTTCCCTGGCACAGACATTTCTCCACATTTCCACCACTGCTTTTAATATGGCTTTAAACTAAGTGCCTACTTTTTCTAATGTTCTACAAAACAAACTTTGCATGCTGTTATCATTGTTAATTTCTTAAAAGCAAAGAAAGCTTGGTAAGCAACTATTATTCACTAAGCAAATCACAAAACTATCCGTAATATTAAAAGATCAGCAAATAGTATGGTTATTTTCTAAACAAAGGCACTAATATATGCAGAGTACATTTACTCTTCATTATTAGACTTCTAAACACATCTCAAGGATTGCATTATTTCCCCTTCCCCAAAAACTCATTTTAAAATTTGCCTAATGTTCCTTCATTGGCACCTGAAAGAAACAATAACATCTTTTAATTACAAGTGTTAGCCCACATTCTTAAGTATTAGAATAGCTACTATTTCAGCATGTCTGTGTCATTAAGATAATCAAATTCTTCACAGTATCTGATTTTCATCAAAGGTATGCTGAGGACTTTTAGCTCAGAGAATTGCACTGCATGCATGAATATAAGTATTAAAGGCTATCTGACTAAACTAAAAGTCATTCTTGCACCTAGTGGCAATGATCCATGGATTAAAGATTCCCTCAACACCCAAGCAGGATTATTATGGTTTACTGTGTCTATCATTCCTGGATAACTGAAGTCACTCAAACACTTCAGCTGAAATATTAACGACTTAAAAAGAATCATCAACCCCTCCTTCTCTTAATGACATTAACTCAAAGAAAATTAGAGTCAAAAAAAACAATGCTTACCCAAACACACGTTTTAAGTTAAAAATTATGGATAAACTCAGGATGTAATATTCACATTAATTCTAACTGCTATACCACATTTTAGCATAGCTTTAGATTAGATCATGTTTACATGGGCATTAACATTCTGTAAATAAATCAATATAAGTTAAAACACAAACTGAGTCTCTAAGTTCCACATTGACTGAGTAAAGAAAGATTTTAAGGCTAATCACATTAAACATAGTTCTTACTAAGTATAAAGTCTTGAATAATCAATATACAAAGTGATTTCCTATAAAAGTTTGTTTTATTTTGTTTTTAAAAGAAACCCACCTTATGGTGCTAGGGGAAAAAAGGTTTAAATAATTCCCTTGACTTGCTGAGCAACCTCTGTATTTACTTGGAAATTATATTTTAATAAACACACAGATAAAAAAAGTAGTACTGCATTCACATTGTCTGATAAACTGTGGATACCTAGATTGAGAATGATTCACTAAAGATCTGTTTTGGTCTACACCATCTAGCTCATAATGTCTTTCTGCAATCTTAAGGGGAATCTGGATATTTTCAAAAATACTCTCCATGTGTACACGTATATGCACATGTAGTTGTATACTACAATTGCAGTCTTCAGAAAAAACAGTTAAAGATGAAAATAGAGCTCAATACTAAGGAACAAATACCACCACCAGATTGCTCCTCATGGCGTATGGGAAAACCCCTTCCTAATTGGACAATTAAAAATCCTCATCCCTTGTCATTGGAAAAGGGGAAAAGCAGGAGGAAATTAACAAAAAAGTTAATATTAGCTGTGTCATTAATCCATGAACTATAATTATTAGTAGTCAGCTACTCTACACTAGATGCCCATCACACCAGATGCAGAGTTAGTGAACTGCTGTCAACACTATTACGGCAGTCGCTACTGCTACAGAAGCGATGAGATGCTCGCACTCCACACCACAAGATACTCCATTACCCTTGAGGAGTCTGTGGGTGAAGAAAGCCCCTCGGCCGCATCCTCTCTGATAACCTCCTAACAACACAAAACAAGATGTGGGTGAAAGGTGAGGGGTGAGGCGACCTAGGAGGATGAATGACTGCAATGCTAACGTGATAATCCAGGACGCTGAAACCTGGATGCAATTAGTCTTCCTTTGGTGACAATATTTTAAAATGTAAGGAATAGTTAAGCTCTATAGCTTATGCATCCTAATTTATAAAAATATATTAACTGGGAATTTCTTTTTTAAATTGTTAAACTAAGTTGATTATATAGAACACCTAGTATTTTAGGCACAAATGAATTTTGTTTTGCATTAGATTCAATAGTACATTTGAATAATTCCCTTAGTCTATTTAATTTCTGTCATTAGACTGAAATGTTCTTTCAATATATCCTCTAATTTTTATACCACTAGGCAAACATATATATATAGTATATATATACCATATATGTATGTTTTTTAAAAGCTATTAGAAATTAACAGACATAAAGGTTTTATTTTAAATGTTTTGGTAACAAACACTCTATAAGCCAGAAACTCTGGTTGTAAATAATATTTATTAACTGTGGCTTCTAGTCATTTTCCTCTTACTGATATTTACCAGCAATGAAAACAAAATACACTTCATATTAGTAATAGCTTATGTTTCTTAAAACTATTTATAAAGTAAGTTGCGCTCTTTTACTACAGAAAGGAAATAACCAAACTTCTAAAGCTATCTACTTTTCTTATTAGATTAATACTGTAGTTACCCTTTTATATACTTACTAGGCCATTGCTCTGATCTCTGGGCAAATTCGTTTTTACTGATGGGCGTGAGATGAGATGGGAACCGCCAGGGCAGTACCTTGGCGTGTAAAGGTAGGGGGCAAAGAATGGCTATGGAAAAAACACGTAACAAAACAAGGGGATAAACAATTACAGAAATCAAAGCATAATGAGACTTACAAATGAAACTAACCAGTAAACTACAACTCCAAGTCTTTAATGTAGACAAAACAAAAGAAAAAATGCCTCATTTATATTCTATACCAGACCCAAACTTAAAGCATATTATTTAAATTTTTACATTGTTGATTTAATAAAGCTTTTTTTTAAAGCAACTAGTCTTGCACCTTACAATCTGACAAGAGTTTCTCTTTACATTTAACAATTTTATAGGCTTACCATATGTCAGTGTTTTAACAAAAAAAAAAAACAGAAATCTACAAATATTAACTCACCATCTCTTTTTAAAAAGCAGAATGGAATCTTCAGAGAATACCATTCTTTACCAAAAAAAATTAGTCTTAAGGAAGACCAAAAAAAGGTCTTTTGTGAGACTACCCTAGCATGGATTCCAGGAATATTGTTACTCTGAGTTCCTACAGTTTACCTTATATCCTATACCCTAGAGTTTACTCTATCTCCAAAATAAGCAAGGGTATTTTTTTAATGGGGAATCCATTGTTTAGATGAGATTTATAACTATGACATTCACTTGTAACCAGCTTCATATAAACAGGAGATACAAGATTATATGGGCTAAACAATAAGATTAAAACTCACTAAGCTTTATTTCACTGAAGTAACATCTTCTCCTGCCTTTTTTACTTCTGCCATTTTAAGAAAATTCTTTTATTTTTTATTTCAGACTAAAAATATCAAATAACTACAGCAAAAAGTAATTAGACCTAAAAACATGAGAAAACTTTAAATGTCTTAAAAATAATGAAATGCTATTAAAGCATCACATTATTGTTATTCATGTAAAATAGCAAACACCAGGTCTCAGTCTAGACGGTATGGTAATTTAAAAAAATAAACTTCTTGGTCTCAAAACTTCACCTGTCATCTAATGATCAAATGACCAATCATATGTAAAATTAGAGCAGATATCCAGATTGGTAAATAAAACCCTGCATTTCACACTGACACCACACAGTTAGATTTTATAAGGATGGAATACATCATAAAATGCCATTGTTCTACCTTCTCCTTGTATGAGTAAAGGAATGGATTACCATTCTTAGGACCTCTCTTAATGGTGTGCCTTATTATTTACATGGCCAACTTTTTCTAAAAACTGAAAATTTAATTTAAATTCTGGAATTCCTTCCTTGTCACATTAATTCTAAACTTCTCTTTCTTCCTGGCTCTTATGAAATTTAGGCATTCAGTTGGCTCTTATGACTACTAACCCCTGTATTTTCTTAAATCAGACTAAAGAGGAACACAACAAAAACAAGAAATGATAATGAATCTTTGAGCACAATTTCAGAAAGCATAATACTAGGGCTCATACTCCATTTTCCCATAGGAAATACTAAGATCATTACAATGAAGACAGCTTGGGCCTAATAAGCTTGACAGGGTCTGTATACCACTGATCATTAATTGCACTTTCATCTTTTCAGTAGAAAATTACCATATTTATATTAAGTAAACAATTATACATGACTGAAGATAACTTGAAATAAAACTCTAGAAGTGGGCTATGGTACTATATTACTTGGCAATAACATCTGAATCCTATGAACACATTTTCCATTATTCTCTCATATTTAAAAGTATAACATGTATTAATATAAGTTTACTGAGCTAGTGAAGAAATTTATCATTGTTTTTAATGATAATATAAACTATTATACAAGATATAACAAGTGGGACACTTGTTTGTAACAGAGAAACTGATTCCTCTGAAGCACAGAGTAGTCAGTGCTGCCTCTGTAGAGTTCAGTTTCCTATCAAGAAAGTAAATAAAAGCAAAAACTATCTCTAATATTCAGACTCAACTGAGATCAGGAACCCATTAATATTCAAAATTCTTTTAGTTCTTAAAAACTTACATATTTTAAATTCAAACTTAACATTTTTCCTATTTTAAAACTATAGTTTCAAAATAATAATAGAACCCATAAGCAGAAAACTTCTGATTCTCCCCAACAAACAATTCTTAAAATTAAGATTCTTAGCCCTTCCTTACCCTGTTATAGAATGGATGCTGGGGTCCTGTCAAACCGCTGTAATAGCTGCTATGAGGCTGAGGGGACACAACCCCAGCTCCAAACGGACCATTGAAGGAGGTGGAAGAAGAGCAGACGGAGGGAGGCTGACTGTAGCCTGAGGGTGGTCTAGGGGGCACTTCATGTAAAGGTAGTGGGGGATATGCAAGTCCTCCAATATTAATCTGGTCTCTTGCAGCACGAACATCTAGAAGATTAAATGGTATCTCAGACGGCAAAAAAAACATGACTTCAGTACTTAGTCCAATTACCACATCCCTCTTTAGTTCCCAATAGAAACATTATTTTAGCACTCCTGTCAGGGATTCCAACTGGCTTAAAAGTGGACAGAAATCTTAGTCTATAAACCTTCTAGTGAGAAAAGCCCAACTACTTTGCATAAAAGCTTTTATTACCACTTGGAAAGTCACCAACATCTGGATTCTTCTTTTCAGTTACCAGAACTATAAATTTTTCTCTTGACTTTTTAAGGTATTTGTGCTATTCTAACAATTCTTATGATTCAGAAAGTGTTACTATTAATAACTCACACTTTTCTAGTATTAACAAATGCAATATTAGCCAAACTGTCAGTGTGCAAACTATATAACTCACCCACCTGTGAATAACAATTCCATAGCTACAAACTGTACCTTTGACATAAGCCTTACAACAGGTATCTAAGAAAAGAATATAGGAGCAGTTTAAGGCTGTCCTTTCATAATACCTGGAAAACTCAAAAGTGGGTCAGCAGTGTCAATATCATACAAAAGATGGTGTGTTTCAATAAGTCATGTTTGTGCATGGACATGTATACAGTGCTGCTGCCACAAGAACAACCTTAATGTCACCATCTTCAAGTTCCAGCTCACAAATTTAAGATAACATTTAAAATTTTTGAAAATATAAAGTTTTTCTTACCCACCTGGACAGAGATCACCCCCTATTAAGAAAAAAGATTGGTGACAGAAAAACTACAATGGACTGACATCTTAAAGTGGTGACTACATGTTAAAAGGAATCTGATTCCAAAGTTCAATATTTCTTGGTTCTTCATGGTGCCAAGAAAAACTTACATAGTAAGTTAGAAATAGGAAATTTTCTGAGGACTTCAGAGAAGAAAAAAATTAAACTTACACTAATACCCACCTGCGATGATTTCCCGTAGTTTGGGGTCTAGGTTTACAGTGCATGGCAAAAAGGTTTTTACATCTCGAGCCACGAGAACTGGGGTCTTTGAAGACAAAAACACCTCAAAATTTCTTATATCTCCATCTATTTCAAGCAGCGGCTCAACATCTTTAGTTGTTGGAATATTTTTTGATATTCTACAAACATGAAACAAATGAAAAAGGTCATTAATGTCACTAATAGAAAGGAGAATTCTGCTTAAAACTTAAAAAATGATTTGTAAAAATAAATAAATTACAACCTTGATTTAATCTAAAAAGAAATTTTGCATGAAAGAAAAAAGAACAGGTTTTGGGAGATTAAAAATGGTGGTGTGACAGGTGAGACAGAGGCCTCCTCCCAAAACCACATATAATACGAAAATATAATTAATACAACTAATCCTGAAAGAGTAACAGAAAATAAGGTTGTGCCAGACTGCATACACCTGGAGAAAAGAAGAGACCTCACAGAACAGGGTAACGTATCAAAGCCGTGATCCGGCAGGACCCAAGCCCTTCCCCAAACCCAGCTCACCAGTGGGAGGAAGAGAAACGGAGTTGGGAGGGGGTGGAGGTCAAGGACTGCTGAACACCAGCCCAGGAGATCTGCTCTGGGAGCACAAACCTACATTGCATGTGCTCTGGAGATCAGCGGGGTTGGAAAGCTAAGACAGGCAGAATACCTAGAGAGACTGAGATTCCAGCTGCTGTGGAAAAGAGGGATCCACACCTGGCTGCTCTGGGACAAAAGAAAGGTGGGCAGTCTGAGAGACTTCCTAACAGTGAGAGGGCTGCTAAAGGGACAAGGATTGCACAGAGCTTACTGCTCAGGAGAAAGGACAGGAGCTTCAGGGGCTTCACCGCTCTGGCTAGCTACGCAGCTCCAAGGCCCCCCACCATGATATGCACCCTGTGGCGCCTTCCTCCCAGCCAGCCTGCAACAGCTCACAAACTGGCAAGCCCCTGCCCTGGCATCAGGCCAGACAGAGGGAAACCCTGCCTTTGGCAGCTGCAAACAAAAAGCATACAGGCTTATACCTGTGTGCTCGGCCCATTGGTTCTGGCAGTGAAGACGGGCAGAGCAGCCAGGAAGCAAGAAACAGCTCTTTCCTCCCTCCAGGCACCAGCGCCACTCCCCAGTGACCCCCAACATCACTCCAGGGGCTGAGCAGCACCAGAGAGTAGAGCTTCTGAAAACTAAGTCACATACAAATATGAACCGTCAAAGGAACCAGGTTCAAACCAAATCCCACAAAGCCAGAAAAAGGATCAAGTGAAACTGAACTCATCAATCTTCATGAAAGAGATTTTAAAATAAAAATCATAAACATGCTCATGGAGGTACAAAAAAATATTCAAGAACTCAGGGAAGAATTTCAGACAGAGATTTAATCATTATGGAATACAGTATCTAAAATGAAACATACAATGGAGGGATTTAAAAGCAGATTAGATATAGAGGAGGAGACGATAAATGGAACAGAAATTGGAGAACAGGAATAAAAAGAAGCTGAGGCACAGAGAGAGAAAAGGATCTCTAGGAATGAAAGAACATTGAGAGAACTGTGTGACCAATCCAAATGGAACAATATTCGCATTATAGGGGTACCAGAAGAAGGAGAGAGAGAAAAAGGGATAGAAAATGTCTTTGAGGAGGTAAGTGCTGAAAACTTCCCCAATCTGGGGAAGGAAATAGTCTCTCAGGCCATGTAAGTGCACAGATCTCCCAAGACAGGGATCCAAGGAAGATAGCACTAAGACATATAATAATTACATGGCAAAGATCAAGGATAAGGACAGACTAAACATTAAAAGGAGCCAGAGAGAGAAAAAAAGATCACATACAAAGGAAAACCCATCAGGCTATCATAAGACTTCCAACAGAAACCTTACAGGCCAGATGGGAGTGGCATGGTATACTTAATACAATGAAGCAGAAGGGCCTCAAACCAAGGATATTCTACCCGGCAAGATTATCATTTGAAATTTGAAGGAGAGATAAAACAATTTCCAGATAAGCAAAAACTGAGAGAATTTAACTCCCACAAACTGTCTCTACAGTGTATTTTGGAGGGACTGCTACAGATGGATGTTCCTAAGGCTAAATACCTGTCACCAGGAGAAATAAAACCACAGTAAAGAAAGTAGAACAATTAATTACTAAGCAGATGCAAAATCAAATCAACTATTCCCAAAGTCAGTCAAGGGATAGACAAAGAGTACAGAATATGATACCTAATATATAAAGAATGGAGGAGGAACAAAAAGGAGGGAAAAAAACCCTTTAGACTGTGTTTGTAATGGCATACTAAGTAAGCTAAGTTAGACTGTTAGATAGTAAGGAAGTTTAACCAAGAATCTAAAGCCTGAAATGGCAGTAAGTACATACCTATCAATAATCACCATAAATGTAAATGCTCCGAATGCACCAATCAAAAGACACAGAGTCACTGAATGGATAAAAAAACAAGACCCATCTATATGCTGCCTACAAGAGACTCACTTTAAACCCAAAGACATACATAGACTAAAAGTGAAAAGATAGAAAAAGATATTTCATGCAATAGGGAGAAAAAAGCAGGAGTTGCAGTACTTGTTTCAGACAAAATAGACTTCAAAACAAAGTGACAAGAGGCAAAGACGAACATTACATAATGATTAAGGGGTCAATCCAGCAAGAAGATATAACCATTATAAATACTATGCACCCAAAACAGGAGAACCTACATATGTGAAACAAATACTAACAGAATTAAAAGGGGAAATAGAATGCAATGCATTCATTCTAGGAGATTTGAACACACCACTCACCCCAAAGGACTGATCAACCAGACAGAAAATAAGGAAGGAGACAGAGGCACTGAAGAACACATTAGAACAGATGGACCTAACAGACATTTACAGAACACTCCACCTAAAAGCAGCAGGATACACATTCTTCTCAAGTGCACATGGAACATTTTCAAGAATAGATTATATACTAGGCCACAAAAAGAGCCTCAGTGAATTTAAAAAGATTGAAATTGTACCAACTAGCTTCTCAGACCACAAAGGTATGAAACTAGAAATATATTACGCAAAGAAAGCAAAAAATCCCACAAACACATGAAGGCTTAACAACATGCTACTCAATAACCAATGGATCAGTGACCAAATAAAAGCAGAGATCAAGCAATATATGGAGACAAATGACAACAATAATTCAACACTGCAAAATCTCTGGGACGCAGTGAAGGCCTCGCTAAGAGGGAAGTATACTGCAATACAGGCCTACCTCAGGGAAGAAGAACAATCCCATTTGAACAGTCAAACTTAGAAAAAACGAAACTAGAAAAAGAACAAATATGGCCCAAAGTCAGCAGAAGGAGGGACATAATAAAGATTAGAGCAGAAACAAATAAAATCTAGAAGAATCAAACAATAGAATCAATGAAAGCAGGAGCTGGTTCTTTGAGAAAATAAACAAATAAGATAAACCCCTAGCTAGACATATCAAGAAAAAAAGAGAATCTACACAAATAAATAGAATCAGAAATGAGAAAGAAAAAACACTACAGACACCACAGAAATACAAAGAATTATTAGACAATACTATGAAAATTTATATGCTAGCAAACTGGATAACCTATAAGAAATGGACAACTTTCTAGAGAAATACAACCTTCTAAGGCTGACCCAGAAAGAAACAGAAAATCTGAACAGACCAATTACCAGCAATGAAATTGAACTGGCAATCAAAAAATGACCTAAGACAAAATCCCTGAACTAGATAATTCACCACTGACTTTAATCAAACATTTAGTGAAGACATAATACCCATCCTCCTTAAACTTTTCCAAAAAGTAGAAGAGGAGGGAATACTTCCAAACTCATTCTACAAGGCCAGCATCACCCTAATACCAAAACCAGGCAAAGACACTACAGAAAAGGAAAACTACAGACCAACATTTCTGATGAATATAGATGCAAAAATACTCAACAAAGTATTAGCAACCGAATTAAAAACTACATCAAAAAGATCATCCATTATGATCAAGTAGGATTTATTCCAGGGATGCAAGGATGGTACAATATTAAAAAATACATTAACATCATCCACCACATCAACAAAAAGGACAGAAACCACATATCATCTCCATAGATGCTGAAAAAGCATTCAACAAAATTCAACATTCATTCATAATGAAAACTCTCTGGAAAATGGGTATAAAGGGCAAATACCTCAACATAATAGAGGCCATATATGACAAACCCACAGCCAACATCATACTTAACAGCGAGAAGCTGAAAGCTTTTCCTTTAAGATCGGGAACAAGACAAGGATGCCCACTCTCCCCACTTTTATTCAACATAGTACTGGAGGTCCTAGCCACAGCAATCAGATAACACAAAGAAATAAAAGGCATCCACATTGGCAAGGAAGAAGTCAAACTGTCCCTGTTTGCAGATGACATGATTTTGTACATAAAAAACTCTACAGAATCCACTCCAAAACTACCAGATCTAATATCTGAATTCAGCAAAGTTGCAGGATACAAAATTAATACACAGAAATTTGTAGCATTCCTATACACTAATGATGAACTAGCAGAGAGGGAAATCAGGAAAACAATTCCATTCACAGCTGCATCAAAGAGAAAAAAATACCTAGGAATAAACCTAACCAAGGAAGTGAAAGATTTCTACTCTGAAAACTACAAGACATCCATGAGAGAAATTAAATAAAATACCAATAAATGGAAACACATCCTGTGCTCATGGATAGGAAGAATTAATATTGTCAAAATGGTGATCCTGCCTAAAGCAATCTACAGATTCAATGAGATTCCTATCAAAATATCAACAGCATTCTTCAATGAACTAGAGCAAATGGTGCTAAAATTCACATAGAACCACAAAAGACCTCAAATAGCCAAAGCAATCCTGAGAAGAAAAAATAAAGCAGAGGAAGTATGCTCCCCGACTTCAAGCTCTACTACAAAGCCACAGTAATCAAGACAATTTGGTACTGGCACAAGAACAGACCCATAGACCAATGGAACAGACTAGAGAGCCCAGGTATAAACCCAAGCATATATGGTATGGTCAATTACTATATGATAAAGGAGCCATGAACATACAATGGGGAAATGACAGCCCCTTCAACAACTGGTGCT